GCCCCCGCCAGACCTCACCCCTGTGTGACCCGCCCCCTTTCAGGACCAGCTGGACTTCTCCAACTCAAGCGGAAAAAGAAATCCAGGGACTGGTCACGACTGCGCCTCCCAGCCTTGGAAAAATGATGGCTACGCAGATTCTTGGTACTTTCTGCCACCTAGCAGAGTCGCATGTAAATCTTCTGCCTGTTGCTACGTGTTGCCGGTTCATGACACGCTAACGTTTCACCGCACAGCGGTTGGGAATCAAGATGTAGACATGCATACGTTTGGAATTGGGTGATTTCACATCAACATCGTCAGGCCAAGGAAGGCAACGCGGCCGTCGAATTCCGCCTATTCGCTCCATACTGCGCAAGGATCCATTTGGGGTAAAAATGGGTGCTCAAATTTCATATAAGCACCTGCATGCCCTGCTATAAAAGCCCCTTTTACACTGGCTATAAAAGCCATTTTTACTGTGTCGCTGCCGTGTGTAAACAGAACGAGGTGGACCCGTCCATTTTCTGCCTTGTGAGGTGGTTGGGGAGCCGTAAGTGGGCGAGTTTGTGTCTAAGGCTCTTCGACAACGTCTGTGTTTGGTTTGACACTCGACACTCACTTCTCCTGCTCTGCTGTGTCGAAAGCTGTCAGGTAAGTATTGACTACGTCACACCAGAAAACGGTGTTAACCCCCCCCCCCCCAACCATCTTTCATGCACCATAAAGAGCCTTTATCCGTTTCATTAGTCATTTATACTTTTTTCAGATCGTTTTCTGCGTGTTAAACTATAGCTCCTTTCGATGAAATGTGTTTTACTGGTATTTTTGGTCATCTGGAAAAGATTATTTGGATGCGCATTTTTACGGACAGGAAATAGTGCTTCACAGTTTTCATACGATTCATGTAGTCAGACTTTTCGGAACGGCAAAACGACAGAACCGCGCTGCCGCCGTACAGTGCATGATGCGCCCCGAGTTGGCCGGTGTCCAACTCACCTGTACGGCCTGTCGTCCCTTCTGTGCATCGGCCAGCAGCTGGATGGTGACGGTCCTGCAGTCCTGCACTGCATCTTGGAGGTAAACAAAAGTGTGGCCCACGTGGCGGCTCATGCTGCACTCCCTGCAGATGGGCACCGAGCAGCTCTCGCAGAAGAACAGGAAAACCTGGGAGGAAAAAAGCAGGTGGCCCTTGTTACCATTGCTCCTCGTGACACCTCTGACAGTATGAAATGGACAGAATGAAAACCCAAGGGATGCCATGTGAAACTCAAATCCAAATGATCGAATGTATTTCCATTTTCTTGCTGCCTAAGTTGTCAAAAAAAAAAAAAAAAAAAACACACAGATCTGGGCTGTGATTGTAATCACTTTTTTCCATTAATAATGTAACATTTGTCTATTTCTGAGTGAATAGCGGACCTTGGTGACAACAACAATACTAAATAAATCAATCTCTATTCATTCTTTTCCTGTTATTGTACATCCAGAAACATGCATGTTTGGTGAACTGAAGATTCGAAACGGTCCACGCAGTACGTGTCAGCGATTGTTTGGACGGATGCTGGATCTTAAAATAATGAATGGTATTAGGCGATTCAAAGCCATTTCCTTGTGGCGGAAGTATTACAAGCTCAAGAATACAATGTACTTAATTTAAACATATAATTCATGCACACAAGTACATATGCTTGAGTGTAACAGCCCCCCCCCCCCCCCCGGGCCAAAAAAAAAAATGCAAAATGGATCGGATTACTTCCAGACAGTCGCGCGATGCCGAGGCAACGTTTGACAGACAACGGGAGCGACACGGCGATGTTTTTCAGGCCTTGCCTGTAAATCCCGGCACTCCATGACAGTTTTGTGCTTCTCGAAGCGACAGCGGGACGAAACGGGCGGCAACCATTAATTTCAAGACATCGCGCATATGCACGGGGATTTTTTTTTCAACTCTTCCTTTTAATCCGCACCAATCCCGGCCTGAAAAAAATGCAAAACGGATCGGATCACTTCAATACATTCGCGCGATGCCGAGGCAACGTTTGACAGACAACGGGAGTGACACGGCGAGGTTTTTCAGGCCTTGCTGCAAAGCCCGGCACTCCGGGAATTTCTTTTGCTTCGCGCAGCGACAGACGGACGAAGCGGGCCAAACCATTAATTTCAAGACATCGCGCACGTGAAACGGGGATTTTTTTTCAACTCCTCCTGTTAATCCTCACCACTCCCGGCCTGAAAAAAAATTCAAAACGGCAAGGGGATCGGATTGGATCACTTCCAGACAGTCACGCGTTGCCGAGGCAACGTATGACAAGCAACGGGAGTGACACGGCGAGGTTTTTCAGGCCTTGCTCCACGGCCCGCGCGCAGTTCCGGGAAAAGCACGACACGTGTAGAAGAAAGACGCTTATCGGTTCGAGCCAACCAGCCGCATCGCGCGCGTCGTGGGAAACCGAATCAACTCTCCAGTAAATAGATGACCGATGGCTGAAAAGTATTGGACGTTAGAAATTGTTTCACGAGTTGTTAGTCACACTCAAGTCATTGTAAATTCATTCTTAAAAGCAAACAGATGACCGATGGCTGAAAAGTATTGGGCATTAGAAACTGCTTCACGAGTTGTTCGTCACACTCAAGTCATTGTAAATTCATTCTTAAAAGACAACGCAAAAGGAGATTCTTATTGTCTTACTTCTTATCTCCCAGATGGCCAATCACTTGACTTTTTTTTTTTTGGGTGACGCTACTGGTGCTTCTTGATCCTCCTTGATCGTCTGAATGTTTTTATCCTCAGTTTTGCGGCTAACATAGGTTAGCATGAGGTCTCAATATAGTTGGAAAGCCTCAAAATCGGCATGTCGGGGGCGGGGCGGGATCTAACTTTCTTAGTTGTGAGCAAAAACAAAGATTTTAAACGTTTTGATATTCTCTATCATATTGCCAACAGTTCAATGGGGTTGACAGGTGACGAAGACCTTCATAATTGCAACATCTCCGATTACATAACACGCAGGACATTTTGGAAGTCCGCTCAATATTTATTGACACACGCTGCCAATTCCCACGAGTCGGGCCCTTGTCGTTATCTGCCGCTTTCATTAAGCGCAACTGGTACATTTTCCCAAGTAGGAAACTGGGACACGAATTGTAAGGATCCGAGTTTGGAAACAAAAGGAGGACTTGTCCACGACTCTATTATTAGAATCCGTGTGCTTTTGGCCGGCCTGGCGTTTCCCTGCTGTGGGATGCCGCCACCCCACGCCATTTCACTCTCGGCACCAGGCCTGAGCCACACGAGGGGGGACAGGGAGCTGGACGGCGGTGAGTTATAGGACTTCATTAGTGCGCCGGATGTTAGGCTCTCTCCCGCCCTGCCCATTCATCTCTCACGTTACCAATTTACACCGAGACGTCACCATAGTGTTTGGCATAAGCCTTCAAATATATGACGTATTAGCATTTGTTTTATTCTGACTTAAGCCTCCTTTTGTACAAGCCAAACCAATGAATGGATTGATATATTGTTTGTCAAATGGAAGGTGGCGTTGGGTTAGGATCATCACAAAGCGGCATTAGGCCATTTGAGGAAACAACTTTCCTCCAAATGATGGGCTTCAAGTCAAGTGTGTGAGACCAAATGATTTGTCTTTTCTGTCATGATTTCAGTTACGAGCTTCCTATCTTGTCAACGCTTGGGTTTTTTGTTTGTTTGTTTTTGTATTCTACATCATTCCGCTTCAATAGTCGGACAGCATTTTGCTGCTTGCCATTTGACAAGCACATACAATGTATATAGTGTTGAGCAATGTACGATACGACAGTGAATCGTGGCGACTCCCTGCAGGCACTGGGAACTGGGGAAGAGGGCACGAACCCAAGGAGCCAGTAAAATCCCTCCAAGCAAGCAAGCCCAGTTGGGGGAGGGGACGCCGGCCTCGTAATGTCACACTGCGCTGCCAGAAAATAACCGGGCCTGCTCGACAAGAAGCGCACGTACAAAGGGCTCAACCGTTTGACCGACACTGGCAGGGAGACATTCTACCCCGTGTAAAAGGTATTTCCCAACTGTTTCCTCATGAACCTCGAACCCACATGCGCAGAAAATGCACCAAAAGAAAGGAGTCTCAAAATTTGGTTTTTCAGGAAAATAAACATTCATTTAACAGCAGTGTGTATCTACTAGCATACTCAAAAAAAAAAAAACACATTTTAGTGCTAGCTAATATAAACCACACAATGTTACATACGACAACGCTTTTATACATCTTTCGGCGCATAAAAAAGTCACGATATAATTAACTCCAATCAACATATGCCTAAATGTTTCATCTTTCAACTGCTGGATTTCTCTATTTGACTTCTCCACAGGCAGTGCCTGGGGGCTTTTTCCATTTAACGACGTGTCAACAGGCAGAAGACAAGATCTGTTGAGGTGTGGGCGCACACTGACGCATCACAAAGTGACATTCCTGCAGGCTCTTCACGTCCAATATATTTGGCAACCGCAATTTAGAACTTCCTGCTCTAAACTGGACCTGCAGACACCAAGTCTGGCTTTAGTGAAAGGAAATTCCTGACGGCCAACTCGCCCGTATGTGTGTTTGTGTGTGTGTGTGTGTGTATATATATATATAATATACACAAGTCCTTCTCAAAAAATGTGCATATTGTGATGAAGTTCATTATTTTCCATAATGTAATGATAAAAACTAAACTTTCATCTATTTTAGATTTATTGCACACCAACTGAAATATTTAAGGTCTTTTATTTTTTTAATACTGATGATATATATATATACACACATATACATACATACACACATACATACACAGTTGGCCAACCGTCTTAGCACTGCTTTTATCCTTTACGCAGGCTCATTGGCATTGTCCATTGGTGTTTTACTTGCCCGATTGTAACTGGAGTGACTCGATGCTGAGGCTCCGAGCGGTTAACGTCAGCGCTACATCATGTCAAAGGGACGCGGACGCTATTTATTTGTGCAATTATTGAGAGCACTATTGGCCAAGAATATGACCTGACACCCACCCCAGAAAATGTATAACATCATTTTTACATCTTTACATTGTGAGGGTACAATGTAGAGTATGACCTCATACACTGAGGCAAACAACGTATTGTGTAATAAGATTAAAACGAGCTGGGTACCACTCAGTCACTCCGCCCCCGTCAGTTTTCCTTTTCCTTCTTTCTCTTCTCCCTCATTCCAATCTCGTTTTCTCGCCGGCTGGGAGGCCGCCGCCCTCTCGTGGCAACCTTCTGCTGGCCGTTTGCCATCAACACAACGCCCATTTGGACACGCCTGTTGATGTTTTGAAACTCTGCCAGATACGAGACGCCCGAGTGCGGCGGCATGCGGGAGGGGGGGGGGGGGGGGGAGGAGCGTTGT